CGGGGCCGGGGCCAGGCGCTGAAGATGCTGCCGGGGACTGCGCGGCCGGGCGCCTGGGACCGCGGCCGGGTCGGGGAGAGGCTGCGGGCGGCCCTGGCCGGGCTCCAGGAGCTCCAGGTGCTGCGAGAGAGGCAGCGGGCGCTGGTGCGGGGGGCGCTGGCCATGCAGCACCCGCCGGCGGCGCCCAGCAAAGAGCAGCGGCTGGAGGCCACCCTCAGCGCCCTCAAGGAACAGCTGGTAAGGGGTAGCTGCGCGCCCAGATGTGCCCCGGCGCGCTGCATCCAGGGGTGGGGGGGGACGGGGAAGGGAGCGCCGGTCCCGTCCCTTGCGCCCCGGCGAAGCGCCTCTGCCTTCCTCCCGTATGCCAGGACCCGGCTGGAAGGCGATTTTCTCCCCGGCAAGGGCTGGAGGGAGGAGGGACCTCCCCACACCCAGCAAGGGGGATCGCAGTCGGGCTGAGGTGCTCCAGATGTTTGGCCCTTGCTGGAGGAGGAGGTGTGGGACCCTGATCCCAGCTGTCTTTCCTGCCTGGTGCGGGGGGCTGGACCCCATGATCTTCCGGGGTCCCTTCCAGCCTCACAGGCATAAGTCATGTCCAAGGGGATTTGAGCCTGGCATGAAAGTCTGTTTTAAAACCTGCTCTTTTTATTTTCTCTCCCCCCCCCCGCACTTTTTTTTTTTTAAGGAAAAAAAATAGTATAAGTCATGTTCTTGCCTTCTTTCATTGCAATTCAGCCTGCTTGCACCGAAGGCAGAGGCTGCAGCTTTCCTTTCGCACAGGATGATTTACGGGCTAGCACTACGTCTGGGCACTGGCTTGCAGGTCTTTTCTGCAGGCACAGCATAAGGCTTGGCAGAGTGAATCAAAGGCAGGGTTCCCACCACATGCCCAAGGGCATGTAGTATGTCATTCTCTTTGTGCTCTGCCTGGTTGTCTGTCTGTCTCTGCGCCCTTGTGCTGAGCTAACTAGTAAAAGCACACATCTTCAGCTTCTGCTAGGGGTCAGTTAACACAGAAACCAGCTTCAAATGTCTTGGGGTTGTTGGAGGGGCGTGGGATTTTAGTTTTAGGGAAGATTTAACTGCGACTGACCCTTTTTGCTTCTCTCTTTCTTTCTCTAAAGTTCTATTTTAAGGAAATCTTATTTTTTAAAGTGCGTACATGAGCACCTTTAAGTTGCATCAAGGGAAGTTTTGGTTAGATATTTGGAGAAACTCTCTCACTAGGAGGGTGATGAAGCACTGGAACAGGTTACACAGAGAGGTGGTGGACTCTCCATTCTGGGAGGTTTTTAAGACCTGGCTGGATAAAGCCTTAGATGGGATGATCTAGTGGGGGCTGGTCCTGCTTTGAGCAGGGAGAAGGACTAGATGACCTCCTCAGGTCCCTTCCAAACCTACTTTTCTATGATTCTATAGTCCTAAGGCTGACCCATATCTTTGCCAGGTATTTTGAAAAGGTGCTTCTCAAACAATGCTACTGGAAATAGCAGGTTATATTGGCATCCTTCCTGGGTGCCAGCCATAGTACATGACAGTGCTGCAGTCAGTTATACCACTCATACCTTTCACTGCTGTTAAAGCTGTCCCCAATTTGATAAGCATTTTCATATAAAGTTTCTGTAGAGTGCATTTGCATCACAATTAATATACACAATATAAATATAACATGAAAGTTTGGTGCACAGCAGACTGTTGAGGACCTGGTTCCTTGTTCTTTGGAGGTGCAGGTGCTGATTAACTTAAGTGATAAACATAGCAGACTCCCACTTTTAATTACATGTGGATGTTTAGAATGGAAGATCAAAAGCTATATATGTATGTATGTAGATGAGAGGGGGTGAAAAAAAAGATCAGGAAAGCTTCTGGCTTGAAGACCTTAAACCCTTTGTTCTTAGAATGGATTTTCTGATCAAAAGAGGAAAATAATTAGATTCTGTGACATGAGCCTTGCATTTAACACTTGTTCATTTTTGTGGAAGGAAAGCAAAAAAATCTAAATTAGGACTGAAACTAGTTTCATAAGAGAGCCTACAATCAAAGGCAAGAGGCTTTAATCTCTAGCACTGGCAATTACACACCTCAGTAATCTCCAGGCTAATTCAGAACTCTCCCTCTCCCCATATTGATGTTAGACTTGGTCATCTATTATCAATCAGGTGTGAAAACAGAAAAGGTATTTGTTAACTCTAGGCAGTTTTATCAGACAGCATCTCAGAGTGAAAATTGGTTCTAACCTTCCCAGGAACCCCAAGCACCATGTGTGAAAACACAGAAGCAAGCATATCATGATTGAAGTAAAAATTGTAGCATGAGTATACTGCCAACCACTTTATTACCTGTCATTGATAATTTTAACTAATGCCTCCACTTTATTTTTTAACAAGAAGAAAAGATGATATAAAGCATTTATTGCCTGATCAAGGCCATTGGGTTAAATTGAAAGGCCATTGGGTTAACTTCAGCAGTAATCTCTGCCCAAGGTGATCTATTCATGTTTGACAGAGGGTATTATGCTGCAATTGCCTGTCTGTTTATGTATTTTCCAAATAAAACTTGAAGGTGGAAGATTAGTTTATCAGGACTTGGCTGGCAATTTATTATGCACTGAAGGAGATGGGCAAAACTAGCCCATAAAATTCTACTTCTGGTAATAAAGGCCAGTATAGCCCCAGGAACCAAGAGAAATGAACTGACCCTAGATCACCACCAAGAGGAGGGCT